GTGCAGTAGTGAGCCACTGTGGCTGGTCGTAGTAACAGTAGTAGTAGTAGTAGTAGTAGTAGTAGTAGTAGTAGTAGTAGTAGTAGTAGTAGTAGTAGTAGTAGTAGTAGTAGTAGTAGTAGTAGTACTCAGTAGTAGTGTAGTAACAGTAGTAGTACTCACAGAGTGCAGTAGTGAGCCACTGTGGCTGGTCGTAGTAACAGTAGTAGTAGTAGTAGTAGTAGTAGTAGTAGTAGTAGTAGTAGTAGTACAGTAGTAGTGAGTAGTAGTAGTAGTAGCAGTAGTAGTAGTAGTAGTAGTAGTACTCACAGAGTGCAGTAGTGAGCCACTGTGGCTGGTCGTAGTAACAGTCAGTAGTAGTAGTAGTAGTAGTAGTAGTAGTAGTAGTAGTAGTAGTAGTAGTAGTACTCACAGAGTGCAGTAGTGAGCCACTGTGGCTGGTCGTAGTAACAGTAGTAGTAGTAGTAGTAGTAGTAGTAGTAGTAGTAGTAGTAGTAGTAGTAGTAGTAGTAGTACTCACAGAGTGCAGTAGTGAGCCACTGTGGCTGGTCGTAGTAGTAGTAGTAGTAGTAGTAGTAGTAGTAGTAGTAGTAGTAGTAGTAGTAGTAGTAGTAGTAGTAGTAGTACTCACAGAGTGCAGTAGTGAGCCACTGTGGCTGGTCGTAGTAACAGTAGTAGTAGTAGTAGTAGTAGTAGTAGTAGTAGTAGTAGTAGTAGTAGTAGTAGTAGTAGTAGTAGTAGTAGTAGTAGTAGTAGTAGTACTCTGCAGTAGTAGTAACAGTAGTGCAGTAGTGAGCCACTGTGGCTGGTCGTAGTAACAGTAGTAGTAGTAGTAGTAGTAGTAGTAGTAGTAGTAGTAGTAGTAGTAGTAGTAGTAGTAGTAGTAGTAGTAGTAGTAGTAGTACTCACAGAGTGCAGTAGTGAGCCACTGTGGCTGGTCGTAGTAACAGTAGTAGTAGTAGTAGTAGTAGTAGTAGTAGTAGTAGTAGTAGTAGTAGTAGTAGTAGTAGTAGTAGTAGTAGTAGTAGTACTCACAGAGTGCAGTAGTGAGCCACTGTGGCTGGTCGTAGTAACAGTAGTAGTAGTAGTAGTAGTAGTAGTAGTAGTAGTAGTAGTAGTAGTAGTAGTAGTAGTAGTAGTAGTACTCACAGAGTGCAGTAGTGAGCCACTGTGGCTGGTCGTAGTAACAGTAGTAGTAGTAGTAGTAGTAGTAGCTCACAGAGTGCAGTAGTGAGCCACTGTGGCTGGTCGTAGTGCACTATGGCCACACACATGGTGTTGAGTCCGACCACACACAGGACGACCCAGTAGAAGCTCTGAGCTTTGACCATGCGGCGGATACAGAAACGCACTCTCTTCTCTTTACGCCGGAAGAACGTGTGACTGTCCAGTTTTCCACTCTTCACACTGGAGCGGCCGAACGGAGAACCCGGCGGAGCTGCACACAACACACACACACACACACACACATTATAACATGTGTGTTTATAGCACTACTCCTTTCCTATTTCTCTTGGTCTATCACATTTGCTGTAGCGTTTCATGTTTTATGTTTCTAATTAGGCCATAAATCAGATCTTAGAACTGCACAGAAACTCTTACAATTACTCTCACCTGAGTCATAGTATTACTACTGTACTTTAGACGGATACTATTTTGACAGTGTTGTACTTTTACATGAGTTGAATATTATTCTCTAGTTCCTTTACCCTCCTCTCACTACGGTCTGAGTACCATAAACTATAAACAATCCCATTCTCCATATGCTGGAATCCCAAAGTGTTTTAATTAGCATGGAAGCACATAATTACACAGATACACATGCGCATGACTTGGGGCTTCACTTATTGTTTGTCCAAAACAAATATTAAGATGAGCCTGTTCACCAGACTGTGCAGAAAGCTTCTCCCGGGAGCCTTTTAGCACACACACCACAAATGGTCGTGACAGCGTTCTGTGCTCTTAATGATGGTTAAAAAAAGCATTGATTTTCACGCTCTGGCCGAGCATTACAAGAGGCTGGAGCCGGCGTCAGGTCCATTCATATGAAGCCTCCTGTTAAGAGTGCTGCAGGTGGTGCACATTTGAGCGGCTAATTACAAAAGTTAATTATGTTCTTCTACCCTGGAGGCGTCACACTCCACCATTTTATGCCCATGCTACTTTACACTGTTTTTAATAAGACATGAAATACACACTTTTTAAGGCGAGACACTGCCGATGAATACTACGGCTCGAGTCGACTGAACAAATTGGTCAACTAAAGGGGGTGTGGCAAAAGCTCTCAAAATGATTATCTATTATCTCTATATCTGAGCCAAACTGCACTCACAAGACTACACCTGCAGGGGGAGTTCATGTGAAAAATACTACTTATGTGGAAAAATAAAATACAAGCTAAATTTTTATTTATATCAAGTCCAAAAAATACAGAATCTACAGATAACTCACTCACTTCTAATTTCAGCTCATAAAAATTCTTATCATATAAATAAAATGACATTTTGTAGTTCACTTACATAAATATAAGAAATAAAATATTGATGATTTTTCATGACGTAATGTTTTCATATATATATTTATAAGTCATTTATTGTGAAAAAAGCCAATGTTGTGCATATTTGGTGCATACAGATCTGAACATTGTAAAGGTTTTAATGAATGTTGTTGATATATTAGAAACATTTCAGATATCTTAGTCCACACCCTTCATCAGCTGTCAGACAATCACCGCCAGGTACACTTGAACTATTCCTATGAGCTATTCACATAAATGCACTCTCTGCCTCCTAAAATAAAATATAAGTGAAATTCTACTTGAAATAATCACATGTCAGCAGTCGAATCTGAATCCATTATTTTCATGACTTTATGTTCTATTGTTTCATACAATAAACACACACAGACACAGATCATTTCAAAATCACTGCATATACAACTGCCATTTTAAAACTGAACCATATTTTCAGATCAAATAAATGACAAAAATTCTATACACTGATGGATTTCTGTTGCCTGGGACCACAGACTGTGTATATATAAATGGACCTAGCTAACCTGCTCTCTGTAACTGCTGCAGTAGTCTTTTCATTTTGGTCTTAAACTGTTTGTATTAATTCACTCCTTAAATAAATTCCTATTCCTAATATGGAACCGACTCCAAATTCACCTCTGTAACTGCTAGCCTCATGAGCTTCATTTGGCTGGAGCCGAACACTGTGGGTGACGTAACACTCCCTTAGTTCACTTCTTTATACAGTCTTTTCCTGGGACCCACACTTCTTGAGTATTTTACACAGACGTGAGCCTGGTCACTGGTGAATCTCTGGTTCAGACTGGGGTGATTGACAGGTGGATGGGCAGAGACATGAGTAGTCTGTCCATATCAGAACAAATCTGGCTGCACTTGTCTGTCTCGAGGCACGATGGAGACGGATGAAGAGAGCAGACGTCAGCTCATACAGCAGTCATGCAAAATCACTGGTTCATCTTCTGATTTTAGACAAATGCTTTCTGAAGAATCTCAGTCACATCAACAGCAAATGTAAAATGCATTTTACAAATGAAGTCCATGAAAGTTCATAAAAAGTACATTAAAAATATTTAGAAAGTCCAGCTCTACAGTGTCTGTGACATCTGCAGTAGAAACCGTTTCTGATTTTCATTCTTTCAGCAACATCATTGGTTGTGCAGGTGTGGACTCTCTTCAATCATGCTTCAGTACGGCACAGTTGTAAAGTCCTAGTGTGAGTGCCCCCTTAAAAAAATAGTTACTTTCCCTGGTAACTAGTTACTTTAATAGTGGAGTTACTTAGGCTCTGTTCAGACTGCAGCCTGAAGTGACCCAAATCCGATTTTTTGGCCTCTATGTGACCTGTATCTGATCTTTTAATGACAGTCTGAACCACACAGATCAGATTTTTTCAAATGTGACCCAGGACACTTGGATATGTGCTCCTGAAACCGATACATATCTGATCTTGACATGTGACTTCAGTCTAAAAGGCCAAAGTGCATTCATCCACCTACACGTTATCAACAAGCCACAAATGTCACTATTCTGCACTGAAGTAGGCGAAAATTGTTAATGAACTCTGTGTCACTGAAGTGAAGCACATCTCCACTCACCACTCTTGGCTCCGTCTCCACATCCACACGTTCCTTTCAACAAACGTAGCTGCCGCTGTCCCACAAAACACCACGGCTAAAAACCTCGTCCTTCTCCTTCTCAATCTCCTCCTTAAAACAAGTAAGTTGTTCATGTTCTGGCTCCGGTACAAGAGGAACTTTAAAATCTCCAGGTGCTCAATGCTGCGTCCATGTTTGGACAACTTCTGTAAACACAGAGCACGCTCGCTGTGGTTGACGTCGTCGTGTCTCCAGTGCACATGTGGGACACTTCGGGGCATTTAATGTTCACACTGGAGATCACATACAAGTCACATTTAATTGGAAATGTGAACGACCTCGCAAAAACATCCGATTTCACAAAAAAATCAGAATTGAGCCCTGCAGTCTGAACATAGCCTTAGTTACAAAATCTGGGAGGAATATCTACTAACTGTAACTAATGACCTTTTCAAAGTAACATGCCCAACACTGCTGAAAATTAGTCTATTTCCAGGAAACTTCATTCATCTTAAAGTTAATAATAATAATCAAGTTTATACAGGTGACTTTATTAACAAAGTCAAACAAAGTCTGGTCTCACAGAGCTTGATAAATTCAGTCCACTGTTTCCATTTGTTATTAAATTTGTCTTGTTGCAGTCTTATACTAAAACTAATTCTTTCCATCTTCAAATATCAAAAACAATCTCCAACCGTTCATCCAATCTTGGTATTTGTGACTTAAGACACTTACTAGTTATAGCTTTTCTAGCAGCTGCACTCAAAATCTGCATCTGTATTTCACTTTATCCGTCACAGTTTCACCCTTCAGGAGACCCACATACACTGATTCAAGTTGAAATGGTCAATACAGTTTCTAATGATTTATACATTTCCCTCCAAAATGGAACAATATGAGGACATGTCCCAAATATCTGGCAGTGGTTTGCCCCAGTTCACCACAGGCCTCCAACACTTTGATGATTTGGTGTAATGTCTTTCCTGGACTGGTGTTTTGAAAAATCTGACCAAATTCTTCCAACAAAACTCTCTCCATATTATTGAGTTAGAAGTTTTCCCCATTCCTGATCAGATAAGGTTAGATATCCCTCCTTTTCCCATTTTTCTTTCACGTGGTGTAATATTCCTTTTGTTTATTGCGCCCTCCACCAGAAAAGTTACATAATAGAGCTTTAACAGTGAGACCCGGACATGAGCTCATTGTGTTGCCTGAAAGCAACAACACAACGGCTGGAGACGGTGTGTGTGAACAGCAGCCGCTCACTGAAGCAGGAAGTGTTTTCTGAAGGCTCCACTCTAAAGGTCAGATATGATGTAAAGATCAAAGGTCGTGAGCTGGTGACGGAGGAGGTAATTAGGCGGGGCGTAAGAGAAGAAGGAAGCATGTAGGGATGAGGTAAGGACTCAAAGAGGAGATGCACAGTGGACCACGTGATAACGGAGGGGAGGAGAAAAGGAGTCGAGGTGAGCATGTGAGGGTGTAGGAGATAGGGAGGTAGGAAGGAGGGAATAGATATGTAGGAAGAAAGGAAACAAGGCAAGGAGGTAAAAATGTGAGGATGGTTGAAATAAGGAGGTAGGAGGTAAGAAGGTAGAGCAGTAAGGAAGTAAGGGTGTTGAGAGAAGGACTCAGGGAGCATATGTTGACATAGTGGACCTAGGACCTTGTAAGGTAAAGAGGTAAGGATGTAAAAATATGAGTCTACGAGGCGAGGACACTAGGAGGCAAGGAGGTAATAGTGAGGAAAGGCTGTGAGGAGGCAAGGATATGTGTGAAGTCATGGAGGGGGCTAGGAGATAGTGAGGATGTGAGAAGGATGGTTAGTAGGCTTGTAACGATAACAGATTTTGCTGGACGATTAATTGGCCAAGCATTTATTGCGATAAATGATAACATTGACATCTTGAGACCAATTTCAACTATTATTATGACCATGGAATAAAAATGCAAATACATCCTCTCAATGAGCAATAAACCTTACTTTCTAAAGAACATTTAACACAGGAACTACAAGACAACCAAAACAACAAGCCTAAATAAAACAGACTTGTTAACATAGGACTAGTCTAATGTGTCTGGCTCACAGCGAGGACTTGTTCACAAAAATGCACTTCCGTAAACCATTGTTGAACCAAATACAACCAAAGCAATAAATAAAATGGATTATTAAGTCTCTAACAAAATTGTCCTTAAAAGTGATTTTAGTCACTGACTTACATTGGAATATTGTGTCTCGTCTCTCTGTGGCTGCTGCTGTGAGTCTCGGGGTTTTGGTCATTTAAATGTTCGTATTAACCCACGACACAGGATGTTATTTCACTCTGAGGGAGCCGCTGTTCTGTCTGGTGTTGTGTCGGTTCGGTTTCGGGATTTCGGGCTCTCCCGGGCGCTAGGCTAGTTGTGTCGTTCGAGTTTGGGTTTATGTCGGCTGTTGGGGTTTGGGACATTTCTTCTCGTCGTTTGCGCTCGCTGCATTTGACGCATGTGGTTGTTGATTCAGCATCGTGACTTGTTTTGGCGCACGGCGATGAACTGTTTTGTCACTCTGACAGCGGAGCTAGCTTGTGTTGCTAGCACCGCACAGAGAGCGGCGCTTTCTGCATCTGCAGAATTTGCATTTGCAGAAAGCGCGCAGACTGCGCGCGCATCCACTGTGTTGACAAACACACGCACGTTGTTTCAAGCGTCATGACACTTGTTAAATGAGAGGAGTCAGAGAGCGACAGAAGCTTCTAACATCCAGTCTCTTTGAGAGCGAGAGTGAGCGAGGAACACAAACATGCAAATAGAATTTATCGTGGCCGGAAAAGTTATCGAGCTCGTTAAAAGTTATCGTACGATTAATTGATTTATTGATTATCGTTACAGGCCTAATGGTTAGGTTAGATGGTTAGGAGGTACAAAGGTGAGGAGGCAAGGAGTTAGGAGCTAGGAGGTAAAGGTATGAGGAGCAAGGTGGTAAGGAAAGTGAGAAGGTAAGTAGGTAAGAGGAGGCAGTAGTTCAGTTGGCAGAGCGTTTGTCCACTGATCTGAAGGTTGGCGTTGCGATTCTAGCTCCCACAGATCAATGCTGTTGTTGTGTCCTTGGGCAAGACACTTAACCCACCCTGCCCCTGTGTGTGTGTGTGAGAGTGAGAACGGGTGAATGTTTCCTTGTCGTAAAGCATTTCGAGAGCCTTGAAAGTGGAAAAGCGCTGTATAAAAATACAACCGTTTACTGAGGATGTGAGGAGGTCAGGACGTGAGGAGATAAGGTGATAGGAGGTAGGACGTAGGACTCACCCACAGAGGAGATGTCTGAGTACTGATGGTCGCCCTCCTCGGCCCCGATTAGGTCTCTGCCCTTCTTCACTTTGCCTCGTTTCAACACTGCAGACAGAAAACACTCCAGTCACAGCCTGATCACGTCATTTACAAAAACATGGACACAACTTTATCCAATCAGGAAGCAGAATGAGCCTCACATGACTATCATTTGGAGTGGTGTGCAAAAATATCAATATATTGTATGGCTAAATGTGCTGATACAGTATCGATATCATGGGCTGTTGTATCGATATATCGCCAACAGTATTTTTTTTGTAATAATGTCAATGTAACAATATCCAAATCTCACAGTACGATATTTATTGGGATATTTTGTGGAGGCTTACAAAGTTGTGAATATTTTTCCTCTTAAAATGCCTTGACATGACTTAACCCAAAGAACTAAGACTTAAAAGTGCTTAGAACTGTTATTTCTTCATGTAGTTTGCACCAAAACGGAGCAAAGGATCATAGTCTATGTAGTTCCCTCTGTTTTTTTTAATATTGCTACACCATAACTATGAATTTAAGCAAAGAAACTTGTGATTCAAAATATTGTGATGGTCCATGATATTATTAAGAGACTTTTGATAAGATATCACGGTACTTCTGTTATTGTTACATCCGTAGTAATAACATATTTTGTTACCATGCTACAGTTTTGTTGCTTGTTTAGTGGAAGGAAACTCGGAGGAAGGACGCATTTGACATTTTCAGTTTTGACGATTAAATGTTCAATGATCAAATGTGTTTCATTTGAACTTTGCACAAGTGGTTAGACAAAAACTTTTAGTATCACAGACATGATTTAGCCTTTATTTTTATTGAATCGTATTGAATCTATTTGAAATAGAGCCCGACTGATATGGATTTTATTGTGGCCGATGTGAAACCGATATAATGGGAGTTGGAGCTGCCGATAGCCGATATAATCACCTATATATTTAGTGATGTAAAAATTCACTGTAAATCTTGAATTGTTTAAAAAACTTTTGGCTCTTGTAGATTTTAAACTGGGTTTATTTAGGCAACATTTATTGTTATTCTGCCTCTTTACATGACATGTCTTAGGACTAAAGCAGGTCTAAAGCAGGACTAAACTAGAACTGAACCAGGACTGAAAAAGGACTAAACCAGGACTAAAAAAGATCTAAACCACGTGTAAAACAGGCCTAAACCAGAACTGAACCAGGACTGAGTGTCTGGACTCGGTCTCTATCTCTCTCCCTCTCTCGAGCCCAAGATTAGTCCTGGTTTGTTTATTTTATGCTGCACGTTTTTTCTCTCCTATGTACATGCATATTTCTGAAAGTTTTGTTTTCAGCCACTGCCGCTGTCAAACTATCAGGAGTCTGCACGCACGTGAAGAGAAAAAAAAGTGAGAGAAAGAGAAAACACGGCTCCCAATCCCAATAAGGATCAGGCTCCCACCGTTCGCTTCAAAGAGCCGGATCTAAGAGCCGATTCGTTCGCGACTATTAGCCTTTAGCTGTAAATGCTGCGCACCGCGGTAATTAATTATATGCACAAATGTCATCATTCACACGTCTATTCACAGCTCATTTACATATCAATGCAGGTCCAGTAACAAATATACGGCCAATACAGTCACTTTACAATAGATCAGGGGTCGGCAACCCGCGGCTCTTTAGCACTCCCCTAGTGGCTCCCTGTAGCTTTCCCCGAAAAAAACAAAAACAACAAAAAACATGTGCGCAGACTGACGCTCGATATGTAACATATGTTTTTTTGGGGGGGGAAAGCGCTTCTCAGGTGGAGGCACCGGACACCACCCCCCGCTTCAGCTCATCTATTTGTTCTGCTGAAACACTTTTCATGTGTTTGCATTTGCACACAGCTGATGGATCAGATCCATGACCAGAGAACGAGGGCTCAGAGTTCAGTGATTTTACCACTTCTTTAACAGATCTCCGGAGAAGCAAGCCGCTCACTAATGCATGTTTTTCAAGGTATTTGTGAGTAATACTTACAACTGTAGTGAAATAAATGCTACAGGTTTGAGTCTAATCCAGGTGCTCCCAGAGGCTCGGTGTAGTTATAACGGCGTTCAATGGCGTATTTATCCGGGTTGATGTAAACTGAAACTTTTTTGAAAACGATGCTGTGTGCACGATGTTATTTTGGAAAACGGAGGGAGAGAAATATTCATTTCTCAAAATACCCGTGTACGTGTAAACGGGGCCTAAATGACAAAGGAATAAACACTAACCATCTGATTTCAGTGGCTACAGACGGAGCACCGAGTATGAGAGGGTCACAGAGGGGTTTGTGTATCATGAATGCTTAATTTGTATTTGTAGCCTACTTAGTCATTTTAATAGTCGGCTTATGTAGCTAATATAATGACAGCCTATGTTGCCTTCATATTAGGCTTATATAAGGCTTTTAATTTTTTGAGGCTCCAGGCAGGTATGTTTTTTGTTTTTTTGGGCCAATATGGCTCTTTGAACATTTTGGGTTGCTGACCCCTGCAATAGACCAATAGAAAACAGTCTGTTTATGTGTGGGAGCTACAGCAGCTAATCGCTAACCTATCAGAACGAACCAAAAGGAGCTTCAAATTCGACATATTTCCAACAGTCAGCCTCACACAGGCTCCTCCCACATCACAAGTCTGCACTAATAAATGTCCTTTTAATCCAGACTCAAACCGATTGTCCATAAAAAGAAAATAATCTCAGTGTTGGACATGGACCTATGTCTGCGAGTGTAAACAAACAGAAGTGACTCTGGTGGTGTGTTCAGGGACAGTACGGACACAGACACAGACAAATGACTCCGCAGATAAATACTGATGTGGAGTCACATATTAGGACATTTATCTGTCTGTAAATTGGATTAAATGAACAGAATGTAGAGAGTCTAAGATTTATAACGACGTATAACATGCTCACGGGAAATATCAGCCCATATCAGCAAACATATCAGCCAATAGCCGATATGTCCCCAGGTGCTCATATCGGCCGATAATATCGGCCAACCGATATATCAGTCGGGCTCTAATTTGAAATATATCATATCGAATCGAAAGTACACTGTATCGAGATATGTAGTGTATCTGCAACTTCTTAATGATACCCAGCCCAACTAAACTGTGCTGCCAGTTTCAGTGCTGAAATCCAGCTGTTTTAAACCTAAAATGTCTCTCTCTGATCTGAATGGTCACTACCTAAACCACAGCGTCTGCAGCCAGTCAGAAATCAGTGCCTCTGCAGCTCAGGGAGGGAATTCTGGAGGTTCTGAGCTTCACATGAGGCCTGTCCATAAACTGATAATGAGAAACTGTGCAGGTTAAGGCTCTGGAGACACAGGTTCAGTTGTGTAGAGCATGAAAACCCGACTGAAGTCCGACGGGCTTAGGATTTGGACACATCATACTCAGATGTCTACAGTAAAACCACACTTTGTGACTCTGAAGTGTTCAAAAGATCAGAGCAGAGCTGTATTATTCTTATTTGTGAAATGTGGTGCAAAACTTCAGATACATGATTTTTAAAGCATAAAAGATTGGAGATAAAGCCCACAGGAAGAAGAGTCACTATCACTAATCTGCAGCTTCACCTCGATCCGTGCGCTGTGTGGATGTAAACAGACACACGTAAGGAACTACTCCCACCTTTTTACTTTTAAAGAACACCTCAAACTGGATTAACAGAACAGTTTTGTGGACTGGATGTCATTATTTGTGGAGAATAATTTTTATGGATAATGTGGATGAGATGCTGCAGTTTAAATAGAGAAATACAGTCTTCTCATTATTTGCGTCTCTGTGTCAGTTAGAGGAACACAAACAAACAAAGGCCTCAGAAAATAGTGTGATTTTAATTGTGTCAGGTTTGGTTGGGGTTCAAATACAAATATCTTAATGCCTATTGGACTCGGGACAGATTCGATCACTGCTCTGTTGGACGTGGGCCGGGCTCGGACAGAACGATTCGTCCCAATCCACACTCTACAGTTGAGATGTAGATGTAGTAACCTTTAAGACTATATACTGTTCCTTTAATTAAAAATATTACAAATAAAATCATTGGCCTCACCCATCACTCATAAATTTAAGTAAACATACAGTATATTCTTTGTCATTTTATGTGATTAAATACATTTATGTTTATTAATGGCAAGTAAAAAAAAGGACACATTTATTTCAAGTAAGTCTTGGCTCTATACTTTCTGCTCTGTCTCCAGTGCTGGTTCTCTAGTTTCTGCTCTCTCTGGCTGGTGCTGGTGGGAGAATAAGACTGGATCTGACTGACACTTGTGTTTTTTTCTTGCTCTGATCCTGTTTCCTGCTCCGAGCGCGTGCAGTGAAAGCCTCGTGAAAGAGAGCGTCATGTGACCTCCTCTGCTCACACACTGACTGCTCCTCCTACAAACACAGCTGCTAATCCTCACATCCAAGAACTTCTCAGCCAAAATATAACATTCAGAGTAGTAACAATTTTAAAACTATGTGATATCGAGAAGTTCACGAGGAGTACGTAGGTGTAGTGCTCACCCGGTCAGTCCTGGACACTCTTACAATACTTCACACAGACGGTAGATTCTGGAACATACGGCGTGACTGACAGGCTCATAAACCAATCCCAGAAAAAAAAACCACAGATGAAAAGGAAAACAGAGGAAATAAATGTCCGCACAATCACTGAGCCAAACTGTAAACTCTAAATGTGATGTGAAAGGAGCGCCTGTGATTGGACCGTTCCATCGTTGGACCGTTCCATAATTGGACAGTTGTCTGATGAGCTCTGTGGTCTGGTTCCAGAACCTCCTCCGGTCACACAGCCACACGCAGTCAGAGCCAGAGGATGGAAACTGGAGTATGTGGAGAAAACCCACACAGACACTGAGAACATGAACATACTGTGTGTCACTCTACAATCTCCGACACAGGCTGCTGCTTCAACTCACAAAACATCCAGCTTTATTCAAACAGAACATGTGACTATCAGTGTTGGGGAGTAACAGATTACATGTACCAGAGTTACGTAATCAGAGTACAAATTATGAGTAACTGTATTCAGTTACAGTTACTGTTTCAG